TCTTTGGCTGACAGTAAAATTTGTCTGATGATCTGTAAAAAAATAAATAAATAATACTAATAATAATACTATTATTAGCATTAATAGTATGGCTTTCTATTGGTTTTGCTTGAGCTAATGAATTCCAGTCTCAGCTGAGATGCAGTTAAGGGTATGTTGAGTCAGCCTTCAGACCCCTGCTGCCAGGATTAGTCAGCACGGTCGCTTGTTGTCAATGATTTCTCCCCCTCCCTGGGAGACCTCCACAGTCTCTGTTGTTTTGTTGCTCCCCTCCGGACCATTTCCTATTCTTGGGTTGTCCTTCTCTCCTGTGAAATGGAATAAAAGGGTCAAATTCTCTCATTTTACGCCTGTCATTTCCATTCCTAATCCTCCAAGCTTGCCTTGGCTCATGCTAGTGGTGCAGAGCTTCCACCCACAGAACAGCATGCCGCAGTCCCTGCCAACTATTACCTCTTTTTCTGTCAGACCACAGGTGAATATTGCAGAACTGTATATCCCTTTTTATTTATTTATTTTATTTTTTTGTAGAGTACTCTAACTTTTTCTTTATTTTTCCAAAATTTCTTAGGCATGTGAATATTTTTGAAAATCTGTGCAGCTGTTGAAAAAAAAAAAATATGGATTTTCAAAGTACTTAAAATAATGAAAACTGAGTGATGCTTAAACTGAAAAATGAGAACACATTTACAAAAATGTCTTATTTATTTTACTTTATAATGTAAAATAAGCTGATTGTTTTAGAAGTGTTTAGCATATTTAAATGTTAATGTCTCAGTTAGTGTTTAATTATGTTAAATATTCCTAGGGTCACAGGTCTGCACTGAAAGCACACAGCTGTGCAGGACTTTTTCTTGGTAAAAAATATTTTTGTGCTAAGGGTGGTTTTCTATTTCAAATATGATAAAAACTGTTATATAGAAAAGAACCTGCTTTCTTCCTCATTATGCAAGTTATCTAAAGCCTGCGTTTAAATTGTACTCTGTGTTTTTTAGCTCCAAGGACAAATGGTCCATGATTTCCCCCCTGAAAAAATAAATTCTAATTGGATTCAGTAGATCAAGAGCCAGTTTTCTACCTTACCTTAGAAAGTGTTTGTTTTCCTTGGGCCCACAGATAATAGGCACTATGTCAAGAACTTACTTACTGTCTTCAACTTTTTTTTTTTATTAAGAGATTTGACATGCAGCAACAAGCTGTCTTCACTGATAACGTTTAACAAGTGTTTCTGAGCCACTGCTGTACATTTCACAGTATCTAGTCTGCTTATGTTCTTAAGGCTTGAGAGAATAAGGTCACAACTACAGAATAATCTGTATTTGTGTTGCACTCTTACACACAACAAAGTGACCAAAGTGCTACACTGGTAACATTAGCAATAGAATAATAAAAAGGAAATAAAAACACATTGATACAAAATAAAGTGAAGCAATGAAAACAGAATCAAATAAAACATAACTGACCTAATGCTGTATGCATATTGCTATGATTACACTTTAAAAAAAACAACTTAGTACAAATGAAAGTAATCATATAAATGATCAGCTTCTCTGATTTTACTCTTTATAGGTTAATGTATGAGTAAAATGAACATTGTTCTTTTATTCTATGAACTACTGACAACGTGTCTCCAAAATTCCAAGCAAACCTTTAGTATTTATTTGCAGAAAATGAGGAATTGTCAAAATAACAAAAACGATGCAGTGCTTTCAGACCTCAAATAATGCAAAGAAAACAAGTTAATATTCATTTAGAAACAACACTGATGTTTTAACTCACAAAGAGTTGAGAAATCAATATTTGGTGGAATAACCAGGAGGTTTTTAATGCTATTCAGAGCAGTGGTCTCTTAATATTTTCCAGATATATATAAAAAAATACTTTTTTTTTTTTTTTTTTGATTGGCATGCCAGCCTTACAGGCTTTTCAGTCTTGGCTATGTTTAAAATGTGTTAGGATATTGTATTTTTAGACCAATTAAACTAATATTCACAGACATCTTTGCACACACATTTTGTCTGCTTGTGTTTACATATGCACTATAATAATGTCTCAGTTATGGTTATATAAAAATTTATCTAATCTTTTCAGTTGATGGTTTTAAAAGAAGAAAGTTTCAGTTGTATACTTCTCTTTTTGAATCATACCTCACAGTGGCAGTCAATTTGAAATATCACACAGAAAACAAAAATAAGAGATTGCTTGCAAGTATGGAGGAACAAAGAGAAACAGAAAAACCAGCTTGACATGTTGCTTAAAGACTATATGAATTTTGGCAGGGAAAAGAAAGTCAAGTCAGTCTGGTAGGAAGATGAAAAGACACAAACAGTTTCTACCGAGCAAGTATTGCGAATAAAAATTAATGGAAAATGTTTGCTCCTCTGATACCTTCATTGAGTTAAAAAATAATATGTTTCAGTTTAGTCTTTATAAAGAAATCCATCCATATTCGCTGTCAGTTGTTGATTGGATGGATGTTGCTAACTCTGCAGGCCTGTCAGTCATTCATCTCTTGGGGAGCCATTCTTATAGCCTCAGTTGGTGGAAGTGGCTCAACAGAATAGTTGATTGGCAGAATTTAGAGGTAGAATGGACAGTAAGGAGGGATGCTGGGAAAGTGGAGCAGCTAAGCAGTGCAGAGCATAAATGGCCTCTTTAGAAGGCGCAAACACATGGCCACTGTGAGAAATGCACGACGCATGGAGCAAATATTTACTTTAATTATTGAAAGTTGCAAAAATAAAACTTGGATATTTTAAAATAAAATTATTTCGTAAAACGTTGCAAAATCATTGGTCTAAATATTTTTAATTTTTAACTGGACATGACATAATTCAGTCTAAATTCTTTGAAAAGCTGTGAAATAGCTCTTTATAGCAGATGCCAAGTTCAGCATAATTAGTCAACTATAGTAATCTCACTGTACTTTCAAATGATTTGTATTTCATCTGTCATTGTGTCTATCTTTCTGCTGAGAACCCAAAAGTCAAATACACAAATTTTTTAAAAGTGGTGAAGGCTTTTCTGGTGTTTATGGAGTCATGTGTTGGCTGCCCAGCAGTTTTTATTGCTCACATCCTTCAACCACGTATTGTCATTGAAGCTGAATATTGCCAGTGTGCCGCAGTTGTACTAAAGACAAATAAGGAACCTAACGTTACATGAAAACTAACAATTTACTGAGTTCTCAGCGGGCTTTCCTGTTGGGGGGGGGGGGACTGTGGAGGGACAGTTGTAGTGCAGCAGAGAGCAAAGGCGAGGAACCTGTAGGGTGCACTTGTTCATATTTTCAGATTAAATCTAATACAGAACTCCCTGCTGCATCTTTACATCACTTTACAACCTCTTGGCTGTATACTTCTCTATGTCAAGTTCTGATTTCGAAGACATTCATTCTTCTATTGCTCATTATTGTGACATTTAGCAAATGGAAATAATTTAGATGATTCTAACTTCTCTCAGACAGGAGAAGTAAGGTCTGATTTAATTTCGAACAGTGAAAAAAAAACAGATGCATGTTTCTTTTTTGTCAACTGTATGTTGACAGTGACTGGATAAGGCATTATTGCCTGGTAAATTGCATTAGGTCATGTTCCACCCCTACTAAAATATCAATTTGACCTGAAGTGTCTAATTTAATTTAACTTACAGAATGTGACATTTTGAATTGCATTTATTTTCCTGTGCTTGATACATGTACACGGCTTAATCGTCTGAGTTGCTGGACCTTTTGTTGTTTTGTCCTGATATAGTTAGGTATAACTATATGAGTAAAACATGATTAAATAACTTCACATTTCTTTTCTGAACACATCTGTTTTGCCCTCATACTTATCATTCTGTCACATCAACTTCAGCAACACTTTGCTAAATTGAAAAATATTAAGAAGGTACTATATGCATAATTTGATGATATCTAATACAGTTTTATATGGCTCATGTTCAAATAATTCAAAACTCCCTTTAATACTTTTGCTGGCCTAAAATATATAGTATCAAATAGATCTGGGCTGTTTAAGAAGTTCTGAAATTAAATTTTCCACAAAGAAAAAACTAAACTAAACTAAATAAATTATTGTGAAGTAAATAAAGCTTGAAGAAAGTTTGATATGGAAACAAAAATCAATAGTCAGTAGGAAACAAATGTCTGACCCCTAATCACATAAAATATTCAGGATAACCCAGTCAAACTCATTTAACTTTTTTAATAACACGTTTATCTATTCTGTTGTATTTTAAGAGTCATGTGAAGCAGAAAGTTGAAATAATGAATTGATAAACAAACAAAACTTGAGGACATTATGCAAATGACTGGAGGAAGCTTTTTGATTGCATTGCTAATGAACACAGAAATGTGGATCAGCAGTTTTTGTACAGAGTTCAAAGCAGGTGTTGCGAGGATTTCTCTGCCAAGGAGTTGATTAGATGAATAGGTGTAATAGGTGATCGTTTGCTGAAAGACAAACATTCGAGTTTTTGACCCTGTTGGGCTTCACGGAGTTGTGCAGAAGAAGAAAGATGAGAAGAGGTATTAAACAGTTTGAGATTAACGTGAGACTGATTCCATGGGATGCACAAATAAGAGGTGGTAAATAGGAGTTCATGTAGTCAAGAAGCGCTATTCATTTTTCCTTTCATGTGTAGTTTTGCTGAAGGTTATGCAGCCAAAAAAAGTGACCCTCCACAACATTAACATTTGAACCCACATGAGCTCAAAATGTTTGTCTGCAAAGAGTATCTTCATATAATGGTTACTGTTAACCTTATTGTCAGTGCATCACAGCAGTAAGTGTCCATGTTGATGCAGATACACGAACCAAAGCTCAGTAAGACTTTTTTTGAATTGCATGTGCATTCTTTTTTGAAATTATCCATACTGAATGGATATACAGTTGGTTTTAATGTAAAACATAGCCATTACTTTTGTACATCTAAACAATGCTTTGCCAGAGTGCGGTGTGCTGCTGGGGTGACATTCTCCCATTGTTTTCTCTGCACAGGTGCCAAAGAGGTGAATGCAAGTGGGAAGACGTTCACGGTGCGGAGTTCTCTACAGCTACACGTGGACAGAAATGATGACGGCGTGGCCTACACCTGCAGAGTAGACCATGTTGCACTCGCACAGGCACCCCAGCAGGCCACTGAAGTACTGGAGGTCCACTGTGAGTAAATGTCCAAAACATATGCTGTCGAGCACGAACAAAAGAGGAATATCTGGACATGAGTGAAAATGAAAATAGCAGTAGAGGATAGTACAAAATTATGCACTAAATGTAGATAGATACATGTAGATATAGTCTACACGTATTTTAAATTAATAATGATTTTTTTCCTTAAATTTAGCTGTTTTGAACATCAGCAACATGTTCAGTAATGATGATTGTACAGTGTTGTTGGTGTGAAGGATGTAATGACACACAAATCATCAAACGGTTTAGTAAGCTTTGCATTTGGAGCTTATTGCATGAAAAACTTGGTACTAAACGAGGTGCTATTTCTTCTAAAAAAATATTAGAATTGTTGCTCTCTTAGAATTAGAGATATCTAAAAAAGAAAATAAAAATCTGTCTTAATTGAGGGATCATTTGTCCACTAATCCTTATCCTAATGTTAGCTGTAGGATAATTATAAGATAAGATGGTTTTACAAATATTAATGTGTTCCATTACCACTTACCATTAGTTGAAACTCTTCCTGTCTATCCTAGATGCTCCTCGTGTGGAAATCATTAAATCAACTACTGTCCCTCAGGAGGGCCAATACTTAAAGCTGGAGTGTTTCTCCAGAGGAAACCCATCGTAAGTGTTTTCTGCTCTCCATTGTTTTAGTTTTCTATGTTTTATTATATTTTTCATTCTTGCAGCGAGTTTGACCTTTTTCAAAAAAAAAAAATAAAAAAAAAATATCTCAAATAACAGACCAGATCCTGTGATGTGGACGAAGGACGGTGGTGATCTTCCTGACCTTGACAGGATAATTGTCCAGGGGAGGGAGCTCGCCTTTACTTCACTCAACAAGACAGACAATGGGACCTACCGCTGTGAAGCCAGCAACCATCTTGGGACCAGCAGTGCTGAATATGTACTCTACGTGTATGGTGAGTTCAAGGGAAAGGCTGATGTGGGAGTGATTGTGTTTTATGCAATGACAGACAAAAATAAAGGTACAGAGTTATCTTTATCAGGTAATTACTTAAACCTACTCAAAGACAAATAGGTTAAATGCTACAACCTACAAAATGACTCCTTGGATTCCATTTATACTCCACATGAATAGTGGAAAACGAGTTGCATAAACAGGATTATAATACCTCCTGATCTGCATAGTGTATAACTGCAAAAAGTGATTAGGGGTGCCATCCTTCCCATGGAAAATATAGGCCTGAGGTGCCACAAACACCACCAGTGCCTTTCCTTAAATAAACCTTTGTCCCAGATCCTCCACACAGTCTCTCTCTCTCACACACACACACAGGCACACACGCATACCTAAAGGGAAATGTGTGAGGGAGGCAGAATTTAGTGCTGCGTTGTCAAGAATATCATGATAAGTAATTCCTAGTAACGCCAGAGGAGGTGGAGGATAAAGCGACTCAGTGTCAGGAAAAACAGATAGTTCTTTCTCCCTTCTGTTCCTGCTCTGCCATTTGTCTCCTGGTATTAAATAATAAAAAATACAAAAGAGTACAAGCAGAGCAGTGACAACTGAGCTTTGGAGACGTTTGACAGCTTTCAATGATTGGCAAAAAGAAGTGTCTTTTCGCAGATCGATAACAGATTACATGAATGTTGGTACATTGATCCAAGGATGTCACATTTGCTTTATCTCAAAGATTTATCTGAATAAAAAACACAAAAAACATAGTACATGTCAAGTTATGCTTGCCTAAAAACATTATATTAATTGATTGTAAAAAAAGATCACAGTTTTGAATTTTACACCAGCTGGTCACTGGTCAGGGCTGATCAAATCACATTTTCCCACGTAAAGAACATTATCAGAATTACCAAAGTTAGCACATTTTCTAAAAACGCTCACCGAAAAGTTTAACAAACAGAATAAAAAATTAGCAGCAGCTTAAAAAGAACATTTACAAGACCTAAATGATTCAGCTCAGTGAACAAATAACAACAGTACTAAAGTTTGGGACACTAGACAATTCTTTAACTAATGTTACCTGTAATTTCCAATCTGAAACGGTTTGCACATAGTCTGATAGTGTGGATCAGTCGCTGACCCAACTGCCAATAGATGTGGCCAAATTTTGACCATAAGGGTGAAAATGCTTTTGATTTTTTAGGTTTTAGCAATTTATATTGTAAAATGAGGTAAATTTTCCGGTGGTTTAGTTTTAAATAATCGATAAAACACGATTATTTTTAACGATGCAATCCAAACGTATAGTATTGTATTTCAAGCTAAAATGATAATTTTTTTCATGTTAAAATTTGTCCAACAACCCACTAACAATCTTGCATTTATAACATACCATTGCATCCCATTCGTTTTTACGTACACCTTTCATGTCACCCAGGTGCAGACTACCTGGGTGACACCACTCCCACTTCAATATACCTCACTCCTCTACCGGGGCTCCACCTTCCTCCCTTCGTCCTCTACTTTTGCTTTTATGAAACTGTAATAGAGTACCACACCTTTCTGCAAACAGCCTCATCAGTGAACAACATGTTGCAGTTTCCATCTAGGAAGTTTTAGTAATGTCATTGGCCCATTGAACAGCATGTCAGTATCATGTAGCTTGAAAATCTAGCTTGTCATGCTCAATGCTACTGAAGAAAAAGCTAAATCATATCATACAAATAACTGGCAATGTTTCTATCTATCATTTTAATCTACTGTTAATGTAGCAAATTAATTGCAAATATGGAAATTAGCTATTTTTTTCATGTAAATGCTATGTGATTTTTTTATAGATCATTTCAAATGCAATAACGTTAATTACAAGTCTATTACTGTCATAATTAGCTAAATGGTCTATTTATGCATTTAGAGCCACAAATTAGGATCAAGCCTGGCTAATTAGGCATACCATCTAATATGTTTCACTTTTTTCATATTCAAATCCTTCATGATAAAGCAATATGTAGTGTGGCTTTTACAAAAAGATTTCAGATAGATGCAAAAGAGATACATTTGGATGAAACTTATTAATAAAAATGAACAAATAGATGCAAATTAGGTACGGATATTATCAGTGGTTTTACAATTTCTTCAAGACTTAGCATTACCCATTCATCAACTTCTTCCACAAACCCTTTTATTCACTTTTTGACTAATAGAATAAATGTTGCATCTCCTAATTAATGGGCTTTTCACACACCATGGTTATGTGTCTGTGCCTAACAATTCCTTTAAATGCCAGATGAAGCTAAAAGCTAGAACAACCAATGCACATAATGACACGGATGATATTAAACTGACAAATTCTGCTGCACAAAAAAGGCTATTGGGTACAGCAGGGTCAAAGAAGCCTATTCAGATTCATTACTTCTTCGCCTGAAATGGCACCAAGCCTGTTTCTACCCTTCATTAGTGATTAGTACACCTTTTAGCCTTTTACAACTGCCTCCATAATTCTTGAAAAATACCTTTTTAATGGTCCTGCTCCAAGGGGGAGACGTTTTCTCTCCTACCCATTTCCTGCAGACATGCAGTTAGCTGCTCTGTGAGTCACGATCAAATGTCACCAAGACACAGAGGACGGTTGGCCCTGAGAAAGACGACTACAGCCAATTAAAAGCCTCTGGTTCACCATAAAATGCAGAGTGACATAAACATTAAAGCCAAGGTGGTAGTGTAACCTCATTAACTTGGTCACACAATGTTTCAGTCCCTTTTTCTCTTTGGCCTGAGCGGATGACAGCGAGAAACACTTTCTAGCATGAAATCTGAAACAGAGCGCGATAATGATGACCCGATCACCTCTTCTGAAAGCACCCTTGAAAATGTGTAATTGGCACAGATCTTTTGTCAAATTAATGTCTTCATTTGGTGGAATTTAACTTTCTGTCTCCAGAGACATAGACAGCATTAGCAGATTCAATTCAAGGTTATTTCTGTTCCATTGCTATAAAAAAGACAGACCCACATTTAAAGATGGCTATTTAAGATTACTGCAAAGACAATTTGTAGTGAACATGCACATATGTTTTGTGTTTTTCACTTTAAATAAATGTAGATATTAGGGTTACTTCTAACAGAGCAAACAAATGAAAGCAAAAATGGAAGTAAAGATCATTGGTTTTGACAAAAATTAACCACATTGTTCACTTGTGATGATTTGATGATCTCTAAACAAAGTAACATCACTGCATCTTTTGCTTTAATAATGAGATTTTACATAAATATTATTACAATAAATCCACATTAAGAGCAGAATTGCCAATGATATACCCAAAATGGTACATAGTTCAGTGAAATAAACATTCACAGAAACAGACTGGAAATATCCTTGGCCAGTAGTAAAATAGTTATATATGGAGTTCATTTGTGTTGTTTAGAAAGGAGGCCAGGGATGGTTGTAACGTGGGTCATTTTTTCCTGTCAGGAACAAGTTTCAGATCATGTGATTCACTCTGTACATTTCATCCCACATGAAGATATAGCACCCTGAAGCAGAGATAAAAGTTTTATGTGGTAACGTTTCAGTTTTGATTCTATTCTTGTCCATTGTCCCAAGAATTTGAGTTGTGGTTGTTTTTTTCATAACCCCTAAAATACTAAAGTTTCCACCTTTTCTGTATTGTATGGTACAGTGTCTTGCATAAGTATTCTACAACTTGAACTTTACTATATTTTGTCAAAGAATAAATAAAGAATTTACTGGATTTCTCTGGATTTTCTTTGATCTATACGAACACAAAGTAGCACATAACTGCTTTCATTTGTTCACAACAATGGATAGCAAGAAACTAAAATTAATGTTCAAAACATTAATTCTGAATTAATGTTAAATTAAACATCTGAATTCATATGCATCCCTCATTTTTTTAGATGTGTATTTGACTAGTATTTATTCCTCACAATAATGTGTGATGTGTTGGTATATTATATGAAATTCAAATACATAGAAGATTGCAGTTATGGTGTGATCAAATGCAAAAATGTTCAAAAGGAGTCAATGCTTTTGCAAAGCACTGTATGGGACACTTACCTAACTTACACATTTTCAGTTGTTCACATTTGTACATTAATTTCTAGATCTATGTTAAGAAACTTACTGGCCTCACACATGCAAGAAAATGATTTAGTGGGTGAACATAAACACTTCCAGTGTCACCACAGGATATGTTACAAGTTGCACAACTTTCACTTACTCCCATTGAATGTTTGTTCTTTGTGTCCCTGAGATAACCAATAAAAATGTAATTGTAAACATGCGTGACTAGTTTGAATAACATTTTAACTAAATAGTCTAACTATTACGAGCTCTAAGTTAGACAGAGAGATGTCACGAATGCTGAACTGTCCCCGTTCTCCCAAACATCACTTCTTTGTGTGAATTCATTTGTTGTTGTATTATTTTTGTGTTTTTGTGTATGTCTGTCTGTGCCCTCCACCAGACGCTCCCACCACCTTGCCTCCATCCACCACACCCCCCCTACATCCCATCCCTCCAGATCCTACTGTTCAGTTAAGCACCCACGCCTCAGACCCCACAGTCACTGGCAGCAGAGGTACAGTAACACCCCACATATCACCACTACCCCCTCGGCATGCTACTTTATACTTCACTTTTCTACTTTACACTTGCATCTTTTCTTTTTTGTGTTCAAGTTGTTGCCTTAATCCTATGACATTTCCCCCCCCCCCCCCCCCACCGCCCAAAATGAAAAAAAAAAAAACAAAAAAAATTAGATTACACATTTTGTT